GCTAAATAGAGTTTTAGCATTAAAGCTGATGTCAGTACGTGATGAAAACCCTAAATCTAATCTTTAACCCCAACCATCAACTGTAAATGAGAATTCTAACTGCTATATAACCCTCATTTAATCATAATCAGTAGGTGTCCACTCTCAAGAGTCGCTCAAAGATTGTCTATGAATCATAGTCTCACTAAAATGTCCTATTTCAGTAGCCGATCAAAAGTACAGAAAAGCGCCATCGCAATATACTGACCCTTCGACAAACGACAGATAAACCGAGGTGAATACGCTCATAAGTACATACCTGAGTGATGGAGCATGAACAGCCCAACCAAAGTCCGACAGTTTCAACTCTTGATGAAAACCAAGAAGTAAGTTTTCAGGTTTGATATCCCGATGGATTACTTTCATCCGGTGGCAGTACATAAGCGCATCACACAGCTGGTATATGTACTAGGAATTTTATAAGAGAAAGTAGAACTTACTGTGGCTGAACGCGCCTCACTAAAGCGTCCGAGCCTTCGCAGCTCAGTATACATCTGACCTAAAAAAGCATACTCAAGAACCAGGTAAATTCTCTTGTGGTCATGAAAATATGTGTACAGTTGAAGAATGTGGGGGTGCTGGAGATGACACATGATCTCTATTTCGCGTCTTATCTGGTGTTCTAATTTGTTCTTCACAATCTGTTTTTTGAAAATAACCTGAGGAATTTGTGTGAAGCTGGGAAACATACTTTTATTGCACATGGAAAATGCGACTTCTTTGTTCTTGCAAGGAAAACAGTCCCGAACTTCCCACGACCAAGTTGTTTCCCGATTTCAAAGTCAGATAGAACGCTTACACTACGCGTAACTTCCATTAATAACCTGAGTGTCAATATGAGCGCCTGAGCATAAGTAACCTATCATCCGTGCGAATAAACAAACCAAAGCTGCCCTACATTCTAGATGTCCTGAAGTTGTATTCTACTGGCTGGAGTATTTCCATATCTCAATTTACGTACCTAAGTGGAATTCAAACTGTCTTAGGATAAATAGAGAATTATATCTTCCGTAACTACTGATGATGTCACAGGTATTCAGTGTTTGACAACGCTTCTACCAGTAACACCTTCTAACGTATTTCGTTACCGCCCAGAGAAATCAAAAGACAGAGTCGAGGAGATGAGAAGAGTATATTTGGCGACGACCAATATATCGAAATTCTCTGATCTAATCTGGCTAGCGATTGCGGTTGATGTTGAGCACGGCGTTACCACACGTGATCTGGTGCGGATGCATGACCGAGCGCCTTCAGCTAGATGAGTCCACTAAAACATACGGTCAGCATCCAATGTCGAAAACTTAGTGCTATTTATTTTGGGGATTTATTTACCGCTACAGATCACTCCCCCCCTAGTGGGGCAGTGACGACCCTAAGACGTGGCCAGCCAGAAGTTTAAACCCAACGAGTTTGTCGTTGGTAAACACTCTTCTGATAGCTTACTAAGTGTAGCAGCGTCTGGTCGTCTTTCCTTACTATATGGGACCGAGGTACAACATAGTAAAAAAAGAAAATGTTACAACGAAAATTTCGATTCCTCGTAAACTGCATCGTTCTTTTCCAGCCGTCCTGGAAAAGAAAAAAGAAAGTGTAAGTGCATGTCGAAATACACTCGTATGTGCGTAAAAACACAATTTAGGCGAAAAAAAATGGAAAATATACTCAAGCACACGTAATAGCGTTAAAAAATAATTTTGTTTTTTTTGTTTGTTTTTTTTTTAAAAATAAATATATAAATATATAGGCATAATAAAATTGTCTTTTTTTTATAAAAAAAAAATTATATATCGTTTAAAAAAAATATCGGGATAATATAAAATGTCGAGTAGTGCTTTACGTGCAGTAGTCGTTTAGATGTTCTGGAAATCTTACTCTTCTTCCAGAACGCGTCGTTTTACGTTTATTTTCAGATACATTCGGAGTATCATCGCTAGTGTTGGTTGTCGGTTGAGGAATTATGAGTGGAGTCGTGTCGTTCGATTGTAACGAAGGAAAATCGACGTGAATAGGATTTCCTTCTAAATACGCTGCTTTGAGGCGATCGATGCTGATGCTATCGTTTGTTCCGTTCTTATCGACTATATAGTACTTCGGTTCGCGTTGAAGAACTTTGAAGGGTCCTTCGTATGCTGATTCGAATGGTCGTCGATGCGAGTCTCGACGAACGAAAACGTGTGTACTATATCGTAAGTCAGGTTGAACGAATACATCAGTTGATTGAGGTCGAGTGGAAGCAGGTTTAACTGAACGCATTGCGTTTGTAAGCCTGTTCGTGTAGGAGGTTAGATCCATGTTCATTGAAGAAGACGAAGGATCCACGAATTCTCCTGGAAGTCGAAGTGTCGTTCCGTAAACGAGTTGAGCCGCAGTGTATCCAATGTCAGCTTTCACTGCATTGCGGATACCTAGTAAGACGAGTGGAAGAGCGTCCGTCCACTGTGAAACGTTTGCAGCTGATAGCGAAGCTTTTAGTTGTCGGTGAAAACGTTCTACCAACCCGTTTGCTTGTGGGTGGTAGGCGGTCGTTCGGAAGCGAGTGCTTCCTAATAGTGTGGTCAGACGGCGGAAAAGTTCAGATTCAAACTGGCGTCCGCGGTCTGTAGTGATGGTTGAAGGGCAGCCGAAGTTTGCTACCCATCGTTCGACGAAGGTGCGGGCCACTGTTTCAGCAGTGATGTCCTTGATAGGTACTGCTTCTGGCCATCGAGTGAAACGGTCTACGCAGGTTAAGAGGTAAGAGTATCCATTTGAATCTGGTAACGGTCCTACCAAATCCAGATGAACATGGTCGAAACGAGCATCGGGAGTTTTAAACGAGCCTAAGGGACATTTATTGTGTCTGATGACCTTAGATTTTTGGCAGCTTAAACAGGAGCGTGCCCACTCCCTCACGTCTTTATTCATACCAGGCCAGCAAAACCGTTCTGCTATAAGCTTGATGGTTGCACGAACACCTGGATGAGAAAGTTTGTGCAATGTATTGAAGACATTGCGTCGATAATGTTTCGGCACGATTGGGCGATCCCTACCTGTAGACGTGTCACAAAGTAAGGTTTCGTTACCTGTTCCCATCTGTTTGATGCGTAGTTTAAGGGTTGTGGACGATAACTCGTGCTGAAGATCAGTGTCTTCTTTTTGAAGCTCGGCGAGTTTAAGAAGGTCGATTCCTTGGAAACTGTTCAAGGAAGTTATGCGAGATAAGGCGTCTGCAACTACATTGTTTGCTCCAGATATGTGTTGAATATCTGAAGTAAACTGCGAAATGTAGTCTAGTTGTCGAGACTCACGGGGAGAGTACTTGTCTGAAGGGGAGCTTAACGAGAAAGTGAGCGGTTTATGGTCCGTGAAAAGAGTGAATTCACGACCTTCGATGTAGTGTTGAAAATGTCGTACAGCACAATACATAGCTAGGAGCTCCCTACCGAATGTGCTGTATCTTGATTCAGTGTCTAGCAACCGTCTAGAGAAAAATGCTAAGGGTTGCCATGAGTTGTTAACCCATTGTTGTAAGACTCCTCCGATTGCCGAGTCGGATGCGTCTACTGCGATACTAATGGGTGCTTCGGTGTCCTGATGTGCGAGCATTGTTGCTTTAGCAATCAGTTCCTTAACAGTGGAAAATGCTTTTCGTGCGTTGTCGTCCAAATTAATGGATTTCGCATTTCCACGAAGTTGGTCGGTTAGCGGTTTCATAAGTAATGCGCATTTCGGTATGAAACGTCTATAGAAACTTACCAGGCCGTTAAACGTGCGTAATTGCTTAACGGTGGTCGGTTCTGGGTAATCCAGAATGGCCGCCACTTTGGTTCTAAGGGGTCGGATACCTTGAGCATCGATAGTGTGTCCCAGAAAGTCTAATGAGTCGGTTCCGAATTGGCATTTCTGAACGTTTACAGTTATGCCATGTTTTTGTAGTCGTTCGAAAACAAGATCCAGATGCTTGAGATGTGTTTCTCTGTCCGGACTTGCGATTAGACAGTCGTCAACATACGCGTGTACGAAGTTGAGACCTCGAAAAACGTCGTCTATGAATCTTTGGAATGTTTGAGCAGCGTTCCTTAGACCGAAAGGCATTCGCAAAAATTCATAGAGTCCGAAGGGAGTTATGATAGCTGTTTTCGGAATGTCGTCAGTAGCCATAGGTATTTGGTTATACGCTTTAACCAAGTCGATTTTCGAAAAGACAGTTGTACCTTTCAAGGTAGCTGTCAAGTCGTGAATGTGAGGCAACGGGTAACGATCGGGAATGGTTTTCGCGTTCAGTCGCCGATAGTCACCAGTTGGACGCCAATCGTTGCTGTCCTTTTTAGGGACCATGTGCAACGGAGATGCATATGGGCTACTTGACGGTCGTATGATTCCTAAGTCCATCATGTGATCGAATTCGTTTTTCGCCAACCTCAGCTTTTCAGGAGCTAGTCGTCGTGCTTTAGAGAATACAGGTGGTCCTGTAGTCGTGATGTGATGTGTAACATTGCTGGTTACACACGGTAGTTTCGGTTGAGTTTGTTGTATCCCAGGGTACCTATCGAGCAGTGGCTGATAGAGTGGGTCTATCATATGCTTAACTGTGACTGGGGATACTCTGCAACCAGTAAAAGAAGTTACGCAAACGGACATATTAGTGTTTCCGTCTACCAGCCTCCGTTTGCGAGTGTCGATGATCAGATTGTGGTGTTGTAGAAGGTCCATACCAATGATTGGCATAGAAACATCTGCCACAACGAAGATCCAGTGAATGGGTTTGCGTAAACCCACGTTAAGGTAAACGTACCTTTTGCGATACGTAGCGATCGGTTTTCCGTTTGCCGCCTGTAAGTTTAGAGCCGAATCTTGAAGCCGATCGTTGGGATTCGCTGGGAGAACGCTAACTTCTGCGCCAGTATCGACGAGGTAGCGAACTCTCGTTGTCACATCTGTGACGTATAACAGACGGCTATGTTCGCCGGCTACGGTTGCCGTTAACGCGTGCCGGCTTGGAAGTTTCCCGATTTGTTTTTCGAATCAGTCGGTTTCGTGTTGGGAAAATTGCAGGGTTTTCTGCAATTTCTGGAAAACTTTCCATACTGGTTATGATACCAGCACCAGTCGGGGTTATCTGTCTCTCGTGGTCTAGAGACAGATCGCTTACGGGAAATGCTTCTACGTGGTGTGCGCGATCTCTTACGGTCGGTACTAAGACTAAGATAACGCGTGAGTGTGTGACATAAGTCGGTTATGTCATTCTGAGTCGTGTGAGGCTTTTCTTTGACTGAAAATACCTCGGTAGTAGAAGGTTTCGTAATTTCTAGAATTCGGTCGGCAGATGCAGCTAGCTCGTCTAAGGCGTTGTTCTGGAACGAGACCAGAACTGCTTGCACCTGTTGGGGAAGTTTTGACAAGAAGAGTTGTTTGAATAGACCTTCATCGAAAGTTCTTGGGCCTATAGTCTCTCTCATCCGTTGCAACATGTCTGTCGCAGAACCGTGTTGCAGGTCGATGTTATTGAAGAGTTCATCTAACCTTTGTCGATCGGTTAAGTCTCCTCGTTTAAGAATCGAGCGTTTTAAGATTTCGTAAGGATCGGAAACATCACTAGTAAACATACTAGGTGTTACGTACCTGTTAAATTCGCGCGGTAGTGCCTTGACTACTGCGAGGAATTGTGCACGTGTGTCGATCACGCCGTGCTCGTGGAAGTCGGCTTCTGCGTAGCAGAACCAGGCTTCGATGTTGTCGGGCCAGAAAGGCGTCAGTTGAAACGAAGGCGGGGACAGAGTCTTAAGTTTGAGTACTTTAGGTGTCTGTTCAGTCATGATAAAGTATAAAGTACGATAATGAACGAGGGGCGATTATATATATATCCAAGAAAAATTACGAAAAAAAAAAAATCACAATGTTTAAAAATAAAAAATAAGGCAATGATATATATAAATCCCAAAACGGAACAGACTCACAGTTGCAATAAGGTGTACCAGATCACGACGGTCTCACCAATGATGATGTCACAGGTATTCAGTGTTTGACAACGCTTCTACCAGTAACACCTTCTAACGTATTTCGTTACCGCCCAGAGAAATCAAAAGACAGAGTCGAGGAGATGAGAAGAGTATATTTGGCGACGACCAATATATCGAAATTCTCTGATCTAATCTGGCTAGCGATTGCGGTTGATGTTGAGCACGGCGTTACCACACGTGATCTGGTGCGGATGCATGACCGAGCGCCTTCAGCTAGATGAGTCCACTAAAACATACGGTCAGCATCCAATGTCGAAAACTTAGTGCTATTTATTTTGGGGATTTATTTACCGCTACACTACTACTGTTTCACAAATCTGTATTTATTCGAATTTGTGTCAGTATTTCTAGGGTTTGACATAAATAGCACATGAGGGAATTCCGAAAAAAGGAGAAAAGGGAGCAAAGCAACTGCTTAGAGAACAGTAAAGCCACTGATAACAAGCAGAATGCACTTACATTTGGAAGTTGAAATAATTGATAAAAATTTCAATAGTTGAGACAATGAGTCAATTGAGGCTAGACCACCATGGAAAACGTGAAAGCACTAGACGGCCGTTTCGTCATATTGTGAGACTCCTCAGCAGTGCGCATACATGGTCCCACTCAAATTGACTAATGATCTCAACGATTGAAATTATTATAATATCCCCAAAATTCCTTCTGAAACTAATCAGCATATGCTCACTAGTGACTTGCTTTAAGAGGTATTTCCCAAAGTTTTAGCAAGAAGCATTGGCCTGTAGAGTTCAACCGGGTCTGTTATGAGATAATAAATTACTGAAGACAATGGTGGATATGTCTCTCAATTTCGTGGATTAGTTAAGGTTAGACATGAGCACTATTGGATGCCTGCTAAGCGGTCTAGCGGTTAAGATTTTATGTGTGAAACTAATTCGTCCTGGGTTCGAATCTCGCAAAGTGAGATCGTGGATGTACATTGCTAAGAAGTCTCACATTAGGACGAAACGGTCGTCCAGTGTTTCTAGGTTTTCCATGGTGGCCTAGCTTCAATTGACTCATGACCTCAACCATTGAAATTACTATAACATCCACGAAAATCTCTTCTCATACTAATTTATGACAGTTGGAAATTATGCAGACATGCAAATAAAAAAGCCTGACAACAGTATCTAGAAGTTCATACTGCAACATTTTGCATCTGATTCGGTTACTTTAGGAAAGCCGTAGGTTTTAGTCGGAAGAATTTGGAAGTAGATTGTGAAGGACATTAGAAAGTAGACTTGCTTTTAGTGTCTCTTTCAGAAGCAGAGAACGATAGATGGATTATCATCTTGTTTTAGGAGTATTACTATTGATATTCTGTTAAGTGACAACAAAAAGGTATGGATTTAGATGGAAAGCATTTCACATTGCCCACTTAGGTTTCTACCAGCTAGGTTTTGTTGAACCGGGACTGGTTGGTGAACGAAAGTGGTCTCTGGATCTAGGTTTCTGTACGGGCGGCAAATCGTGAGTTACTTGTTCTTTAATTTCATATATCAGCAGACTTTATGTTTACTAGGGGCTGCTACAATGACTAAGCGAGCACTTTCACATTACGTATACTCAATACGGTTAAGTGTGATTTTTGATGGCTGCAAACCTAGAACATGTGAGAAATTTCCGCAAACAACGTTTGGAGAGGGATACGCAACCAAGACGATATACAGGCACATCAGGAGGATCTGACTCGACTTCAAAGTTGGGCAGACGATAATGGACTTACCTTTAACACTTCAAAGTGTAAAGTAGTCCATCTGCGACATGTCGCAGACTACAGTTATAACGATCCAAAGTCTTACGCTAACTGTGACAAAAATGCCTTTCGAGCAAACCTTGCACTGGTACCATTGAAGCGCACTTTTGGCCAGTTTGACGGAAGAACTTTGCATATAATCTTCAATAGGTTTATCCGTCCCCATTTAGAGTACGGAAATTTGGCATTTCCTCCCTCACTCCAAAAGGATAAGGACACTCTGGAACGTATCCAACGGCGAGCCAGGAAATCAGTTCGATGACTCAAATTTAAACCTTATGAAGAGCGCCTCCAATCACTTAACCCTTACCCATTAGAGTACAGGCGTCTTAAAGGTGACCTTCTTATGGTTTACAGTATCCTTAACATTTATGAACATCCTCTCAAACACCTATTTAAGCTTAGTCCCAATACTAACCTAAGGGGTAACACTCGGAAATCGGAGATACAACATAACAGAACGGACTGTAGACACAACTTCTACTCTTTAAGAGTTGTCGAATGCTGGAATTCGCTGCCGGCCGAGCTAGTCCAATCGACATTCCAAGATTCTTTTAAGAGGCAACTTGATCTATTCTCAAGGACTAAGGACAGTATCTTACTATGATTTACCAATTTCTTTCTCCCCCCTTATCGTTAATATACAATGGTTCCTGCATGGGGGTATTCGTGATCTCCTGCTACTAAACACGGAAGCCTGTTAAGCGAAAGCTCCTTCTGTTCCGTCCACAACCATTTGAACCATTCGAGCCTAAAACAATTTTCGGTTGTGGTACAATGAACAATGATAATCTGGACACATGAAGTTACTTCACCTAATTTAACGTATCAAAATTTACAGATTCTAATAACGTAATTACGAAAGCACATTGAAATAGTACATTTTCATAAAAATTCCAAGAATTCAGTTATAATTATGTTCTTCGACTCAGCAATTAGTAAGTTGATGGAGAAATTAAAAAAGAGAGTATTTAAAGATACCACGGTTATTCAGAGTTTGACAATGCTTTAGTTTGTAACACCTCTACAATCAAACGCCATCAACCGAGCCGAATCAGAATTCAGGACTGGAGGAGTTCAATTTTATATTTTGAGGGCATTTCGTATATCGAGGATTGTTTGATCTGAGTTGCCTAGTTGTTGCAACTGATGCGTTGCACGGCGGACCGAGTGAAGATCTGTTACGAATGAGTGATCGAATACCTTCAGTTAGTATAAGTCCAACAAAACCAATGAGGTCGGTACAAATGTCGAGGACTTATAAAACAATTTGTTTTCCGGGTTGATATATAACCACAACGTCTTTCCATTTTGGTTGATAGAGGTGTTACCACTATCAACGATACCTTCCTGAGGTTGAAACACAGTTTGCCTGAATTATTACAGTAAAATTGGTAATAATGGTCTTGGTGAGCCGAACATGCTTAAGTAGCAGTAAATAAATCTTCAAGATAAATAGGTCCACAAGCCTTTGACATTTGATGATCTCAATAGTTTACTAGACACATCTAGTTGAAGGAGCTCCGTCACGCATCCGCACCAGATCACGAAAGGGTATGTTGTGCTACGTATCTCTTACAACCGTTAGCCAACTTAGATTAAACGCTTCCTGATAGATCTATAGTCTTTCAAATATATCTTCGAACCCCTCCATTTCTGATTGGGTTGTCAGAAGCCAAATATAAAGGTGTTACTGGTAAAGTCGTTGTCAAACTCCGGATACTTTTGACATTTTTACTTGAAAGTACAAATTTTATTTGCTCTAAAGAAGTGGCTTACATTACATCACAAAACTTCAGGACTACAATTTTCTACTCATTGGAATATAACAAAAAGTACACTTCCCATTAAAAGAGGAAAGTTTAATAAACTCGGGAAAACTTCTCCATGTCTCATCTAATTAATTACGTGTTGAATTATTTTCAGTTTCATTAATAGACATGTACTTGCATCTTGTACCTTTTGAACAACAGGAATAAATGCCAAGCACCAAACAATCAAATACCACATAACACATATGTCATCTTGAAATTCAACTATGGCGACAGCCTTCAGATTATCTGGCAAAATGTGGTTCAACCTCAGGAAGGTATCGTTGATAGTGGTAACACCTCTATCAACCAAAATGGAAAGACGTTGTGGTTATATATCAACCCGGAAAACAAATTGTTTTATAAGTCCTCGACATTTGTACCGACCTCATTGGTTTTGTTGGACTTATACTAACTGAAGGTATTCGATCACTCATTCGTAACAGATCTTCACTCGGTCCGCCGTGCAACGCATCAGTTGCAACAACTAGGCAACTCAGATCAAACAATCCTCGATATACGAAATGCCCTCAAAATATAAAATTGAACTCCTCCAGTCCTGAATTCTGATTCGGCTCGGTTGATGGCGTTTGATTGTAGAGGTGTTACAAACTAAAGCATTGTCAAACCCTGAATATCCACGGTACCTTTAACTTAAAGGCTGAATCCCACAGAATTTCTAAAACAGAGGAAACAAGATGGGGACAACAATCGCCCTTGCTTTTCACCGTACGGGATTGTTTTCAAAGTATCAAATAATTTAAACCCTACAAATTGCAACCCCCCATATTATGACATGGTGAAGCAGGACGAGTAGACGTAGATTTACTAACCTTATGTGACAACAAATAACCAATAAATGCCAATCGGTTAAACTTATTTAAATCACTTAATTTCTGAAACGAGTGTTGAGAGGTTTTCATATTCAGGAGTTACAACGCTCCTTGACAGAAGCCAAGATTCTTATGAAGTCACAACTACGACAGAAATTCTAAAAACCTGAGCAACAACTTATATTGGTACGTGTAGTGTGCAGACAATGTAGGCGATCGTTAATATTATTCAACTAGCCTCAGTAAAGAGAAGATACGGCCTAGTGATCCTCGAAATACTCGAAACCCGTGGCAAGCAATCTGAAGAGATGTTGTAATAAAATGACTTCCCACACACGTGAAGTTTAGCTGGTCTAGTTCAAAGAAACACAAGAAGCGCTTACAGGCTGAGAA